ATAAATAGAGGATACAATAAAACGTAAGATAGACATAAACATTAATGGAACATATATTAGAATATATGATATGTAGAACGTAAAATAAGACTAAAAAATGCAAAACACATGCAAACGGAGTGTAAAAATAGACGGAGGTATATAAGAAAATATGAACACAGACAGAAGCTAGACACATCATATCGCGGTATAATTATCGAGATTCATCGAGTGATTATTTTAAATGCCAATAAACAGGGAAAAAAGATATATCATGAAATTATCTGATTTTTCAATCAAATTTCCTCACGTAATAGTGAATAATCGATCATTTCCTAAATCGTTGCTGTTGCTTGTAGTTTGTAAACATTATCGATCGGATACATGCACTTTGCATCTCGAGGTACGATTATGGCAATGGTCGCTCGCTCGCGCAACAATGTCCGGAGCGATTACTGCCCCATAATTGTTCCAGACAAACGGGCGAGCGTAATTTTCAACGTTCGCGCACGCTCGAATGCCGTAATCATAATTGTCGCTGGGTACTTTTTGCCGTCACTCCAAAAATATGACGTGCAATTGTGATGCCGTAATTAGCGTGTAGGTAACAAGTCGGTCGAGGTCAGGCGTGTGATAGGATTTTCCGGTGTTTCCATGTAAATTGCATATTTCGTAGTGAATTTGAATATGGCCTCTCTCCTTCACCTTTGTCCGAGAAACATTGATCGTGGCTCCTTACGATGTAAAGTGTTTTACGACGATGAGCTTTCTAAGTAGAAAGCGTGTGTGCGTTTACTAAACTGTATTATTAATTGAATTATAAAATATAATATTTTACTTTGACTGATTTTATTTATATTATATAATTGTATAATTCATTTTAACACACGCGATTGAATTTATATAATCATTTAATTATTTTAATAATAACATGTGTACTTTACTTTACACTTACAATAAATTAAAACTTTAATATTAAAATATTCATAAAATATATGTTTCTTTACACATAACATATTCTGCGTGTAAATTATTATGTACGTATAATATATTATTTATCTACTGTCTATAAGATGTGATAAAAGCAAACACATCAATAATCATTACGTAACTTAATATATACTAATGACTACTATGTTACATCACTCTGCAATGTTAATCTGCGGAGAGGGTCACTAAACGATTTACGTGGTTGCATTGATCGTCGTCATTGATTCCGTTCATTCATACTTTTACTATTCTCTCTTCCTTTCGTAAACGATAGATACACTAAGAAAAAAATGCTGTTGATTCAATTAAAGTCTATATTACGAGCTGTCATTAACATAAGTGATTAATTCATGTATATATTTTATTGACATAAAGGCTTGATTATTGAAATAATAAAAACGATAGATACACTAAGAAAAAAATGCTGTTGATTCAATTAAGGTCTATATTACGAGCTGTTACTAACACAAGTGATTAATTCATGTATATATTTTATTGACATAAAGGCTTGATTATTGAAATAATAATTTATGCCTTTATGTCAATAAAAATATACATGAATTAATCACTTATGTTAATGACAGCCCGTAATATAGACTTTAATTGAATCAACAGCATTTTTTTCTCAGTGTAGAATCGGTTGTCGTAAACCTTCCTTCACGGCCGATATATCGCCGCAACGTTAAAGCACCGTAAAGTTGCACGTCTATTTCGCTTTACATTGGAGATTGACAGCGTCTAATCTTGATCGAATTTACCAAAATAATACGCTGACACAACGCGAATGAATGACTTTGCGACATGTGCTACTTCTCGCAATGCGACGTAAGCAAACTAAATCTTACGAAGTGGCAAGCATAAAATTTAAGTGGGACGTGTCTTCCACGCTTGCATCAACACAGCATTTGCACATGCACCCAGCCATTCAAACAAACCGTACAACTCATGGCGCACGATACATGGCATACTTAACTGCGATTACAACTGGCATTAATTGTTTTTAGCATTGAATTTATGACTAGGCTATAAACGAGCTGATGAATCGATGAACTTGACGAACAGTGGCCGCTCTTACACGATTTTTCCTGCATATCCTGCGTATGGAGCTCGTGCAGAGAAAGTTTCTAAAAAGCATTTAAATGCCCTCTTCTTTAGATGGACGTAAAAAAACGGTGTGATTACCGACTCGTTAAGAGACAGCTGAAAGAAAGTCTGTTACAATAACCTATTTCCTATAAAAGACAAACGCCGGAAATGATACGAAGATATATGATGAAAATAATGCCATTATGAGAAGAATAATTTGTTATTCGGGTCTTGATATCCGTCGGGTGCTAATCAAAGCAAATTTTCATTCTTACCGCGTGTTGAAATAGCACATGTACCGCCTCTATTCCGGTATCGTTGCGAAAATCTTATTGCTATAAAAAAAAAATCAACATTGCAATTTTACGCAACTGTACCTCGTGATCTTTCGACGTTGCAATTTTTTCTCTTTTTTTTTTTATTTACGGATTTATTACTTTTGCACTTTGGATTTCTTGTACGTAATTTAGAATCAAGTAAAAAAGTTCCGTTTCGAATATGACTTTGTCATTATTATTAATCGTCCATCATTATAGACATTACATTTACCATTTCCTGCAACTGTTGCATCTCTTTTGAATGAAAAATTATCGCCAAGCATTTCGTTTCGGCATCGTCTGACCTCATTACCTACATTTTATCGAGGAACCGAACAAGAATGTAACAATGAGGGGGAAGCGGAGAGTCAAAGCGGGATGAACGGTCCTACGAAAAAGTATTTAAATCGGTTTCACAAATAACGGCACCGACTTTCCGTAGGTGTGAACCGAAGTGGGAGAATAAGAAATGTAAAAATAGCTGGCGGTTTATTAATCTCTATTAGAGACCGAGCTTCTCAATTGCATTATGAAATTCATATCGGATTTTTAAACTTATTAGGTACGCGATTATACATTTAAAAAATAAAACTAAAATTAACAAAGAACAACAAAATCTAACGTATATTTGTTATTAAAAATTACTTATCATTAGAAATTATGCTTATTGTTAAAAATTATGTTAATACATTGAGAAAAAAATTGGCTAAATTTTAATAAATATTTCTTTGAGAATAGTCCTAATGGAATATTTACTAAATGTAAACACATATTTATTAGATACAAGGACCATTAGTTTGATTTAATTATCATTTTTTTTCATTTATCTAAATATTTATTTACTATAAGTAAATATTAAATTAGAATTATTCAAAGAAATATTAATTTTTAATAAAATTTTTCTCAGTGTATATAAATTTTATTTTTTCTTTTTTATATATAATTTATATATATATAATTATTGATAATTATTCGTCCCTTTTTGATACATGCATGAGGTTATCTCTTTTTCCTTTTTTCAACAAGAACAATGTAGGGCTTTCTCGAAAAGTATGTAGGTCCTCTCTTCGGAAAGAGGGAACATTAAACAGAGAGAAATATGCGGGAGAAAGAGAAGAGCAAAGAACAAAAAGCTGTAAAGTATCGGCTCTGCCCCTCTTTCTCCCGGTTACAGCCCAGCGGCCCATCGTAAGCAGCAGTTTGCTTGTCACGATGAACCCCAATGTCTCCGATTATTCGTTTAACGGGACTCGCACGTCCACGATGGTCGGAGAATGATTTCTCCAGAAGGCAATGGGTTGAAGATTCGGTTCGTGCGCTCAGTCTTCTTCTAGGCGAGTGCGCGTGTGGACTGCTCTGATTCCGAGCAGAAGGAGATAATTGCCGAGTTTTCTTGATAACTCCTGAACGTTAATACGTCTGCCGTTCAAAGGAATTAAAAACAAGCCGTAAAAAAGGAATTGTGATTTTTTAAAAATCGGCAGACTCTTCCGGTGTTGAAGAGACTATCTAAGACCAAATCTCGATCGCCTCTAATAATATACAGAATTCTTCAATTTGACTCGATTGGGCTATCCCCTCGGATCCGACGTTACACCCGGTGGCTATAATGCGATGATGATATAATTATTATTTGATTGTCAAATGTGAAAAATCGTTAATGTCCCGTCAACATTGTCATAATACTATTTAACGCAGTAATACTTAACTCGGTAATACTTGAAATCTCGCTCATTTAGAGAAACTCATTTTCGCGTATGACTGTGAAGGACAAGCTGAAACTTTTGTCATCTCGCGTTGCACATTTTCGTGGATTTGCAAGAGGCCTTTCTTGTCGATGACGCAAGGTTCCAGTCTCCTAGCGTTCAAATAAAACATGTACCATAGCCACGTGGTGTTCAAATTGACAGTGAACGTCGACACAACACGTAACTCCGTTAGTCTTATCTCCAGACAACGTTTTCAGTCTTATCTTGACAAAACTTCCTGTATTGTGAAAAGTGAATTGAATTTAGAGCAAAAATCGTGCTTATTTATTGAAATCTAAATATACTACTATCTCCCGAATATTCAGAGTAGAATAATTAAAAAATAGACAGAATAGAACAATTAAAAGGATGATATTGAATGGAATTTGGAGACTATATCTCCCGAATATTCAAAGTAGAATAATTAAAAAATAGACAGAATAGAACAATTAAAAGGATGATATTGAATGGAATTTGGAAAAATAAGAAATTGTGAACCGGAAGAAATTATCATCAAGGAGAGGACAAATTTTTGGTGTGGGACGATACGAGACGGGGAACGATTTTTGAAATCTAAATATTTATTAATTATACGTCACAGGCGAATCCTTAACGTGTATAGGTGTCGCGCCAGTAATTCGCCGCTTAAACTTTAAACCAGTCGACTTTGAAATATCTATCTGTACACATCGCGCGGCACGTCCGTGCTGTTCACGCACGCGCTAACTCAATAAGCGGTCCAAAACGGGTTCCGTATTATCAAACGTAAGTCGTCGCGCGAGTATTTTGAAACTTATACCATTTCCGCGTATTTATGTTGCGACGATTTTTTATAAAAGTTAAGCATATCAAGTGAAAATTCCTTTTCTCTTCTCAAAAGGTGTTCCTGGAGCATCGGGGTAAGGATGAGGTAGGACAACTAGTCGGTGCCAAAACCCATGGCGCAACACCCTTAGTCATGGCATGTCGGAACGGACATTACGATGTGGCGGAATACCTCATCGAAAAATGTGGGGCCGACGTGGAGCAGCCTGGATCAGGTCAGTCCTTTCACGACTTCTGTTCGGGCTGATCTATTTACTTATTGAGAACAGTTTTCCAATAAAAAATGACGTTCAACAAAGACGTGCTTTAGTGCTTCTTTTTTCTTTTAAATCAAGTTTGAGATTTTTTTCTTGGCACTACATTGGTGCAGGTAGCTTAAGAATTGTGGCCGCTATAATCAATGTCTCGTACGCCATAGGCTGGTACAATGTACTGCGCTTCACGTGATTTTACTTATGATTATTACATTTATATCATTATTGTTTTCGTATGTAGAAGCTAATAGATCCTCTGTTTGTGTGCTACTAAAATTGTACTAAAATATTTCTTCGAAAATAGTGGTCTTTGAGGGTGAAACAATCGAGGGTGCACCACCCCTATGGTGCGCGGCTGCCGCTGGCCACTTGTCCCTAGTGAAGCTACTTGTGAGACGAGGGGCCAAGGTGAATTCAATCACAAAGACTAATTCTACACCTCTCCGTGCTGCATGTTTCGACGGGCATTATGATATCGTCAAATTCTTAGTGCAACATGGTGCAGGTGAGGAAAAATACAAATATAAATTTGAGAATTATTTTTAGAGAATAAATTTATAATTTTTTTTTTTAATTCCGTACAATTTTTTTATTTTTCTTTGTGGAAGAGCGAATGCAAGTAAAAAAAGCAAGCTTTGCATAAAAAATGTAAAACATTTGCGAAAATGTATGTAGTTTTGTAAACATTACGTTTACTAATCGAAAGGATTTGATTTTTTTTATTAAAAAAAAGCAAGATTGGGAAAGTGACTTTGTAAAACTAGTTACAGTTACAGGTTTTTTCTCTTAAAAAATGATTAATTACGAGTTACCGTTATAAGTTATCGATTCTAAACTGTAACACGTTAGTTACATTTGCTTATAAAGAATAACAAGTCATTTTTAGTTACTTACAAATACTTTTCAGTTATTTTTTTGCATTGTTATTTTATACATTTCTAACATTACTGAATTATTTTACTTATAAATATTTATTATAAATTATATCTATATACGTAATAGATAGTACATATTTGGAATCACTTAGATTATGGAAGCAATATTAAGTCGTGTTTACAAAAATCATTAATTATTAAGATTCTTATCTTTATCCTTAATGCAGATATTTACAGGGTGTAATTATTTTATCAAGGATAAAGATATGTTCCAATCGTAAGAAATAATCACTGATTGTTCACTGAGTACTCATTCTGATCAGTTCATTATATTGATGAATAAGTTGAAATATATAAAATAACTGTAAAAGTAATTATTAAATTAGTTACAAGTTACGAAAAAACATAAATTAAGTTACAGTTGAAAAGAGTGATTCCAATAGGCTTTCTACAATAAGCCGTTATCTAAATTGTAAATCTTAACCCGTAAGGAACTGATTAATGGGCTTTCTACAATAAGTCATTAGTCACCAATCATGTCACATTAGTGGTAAATAAGTCAGAATTATAAGTCATAAATCTCAGGAAACTTTCATCCAGAATAAAGCATATTAGATCAATAATTACAATTCGTATTAGACCTATGAGAATAAATTAATTAAGAAAAATAAACCTATTTTCACTAAAAATAGGTTAATTTCCCTTATTTTTAGTTAAAGCGAATTTTAGTCCTTAAATATTTCAGGGTGAATTTATGTACATATCCAGTTCTGCAAACCGTGCACCGAAATCTTTTTTGGTTTCGAAACACAATCGTGAACAAAACTGAAATATCACATAAAATTCGTGAAAAAAAAACAGTAATATCACATAAAATTATTAAATTGATAAGCAATTTAATAATGTTTGATGCTAACAAACATCTTAGAAAGGTAGTAATAATTGGATGTTAATATTATAGAAATCAATGCCTTAAATGGTCTAACTGGATTTTAAATCCTTTTACGGTTCTGTGCGAATTTATACTATTTATGTACATATGTAGTCCTTTGAAACGCGCGCCGAAATGATTTTTCGATCTTGAAACGCTAACTCTATACTAAACTACCGCAGTAATATCACGAGTTAAATTGACTAGCAATTTTAACAATTTGATACTTTTTCGTATCTTCGAACGATTTTAATAATGCTGAGTGATATATTAAAATCTGTAAATAATTAATTGCGAAAAATATTACCTCGGTCGGGAATCGAATCCAGATCTCTTGCTTTCCGGGCGAGCGTCCATCAGATGGTTAATTTAAGCATCTTAATTACAATTCTTGCAATTCGCATCTGTTTTCAAGTCGAGATAGGAGCGATTTTAAGAACTATAAATAATTAATTTATTCCAAAAAATATTGCATCAGTCGACATTTGAACATGATTCTTCCGCATTCCTCTCTTGTGCGGGCATCCCGAGGAGGTAACCACTTAATGTAATCGTGGGACAGAGTCCTCGAAATCATTATAAAATTCATATGAAATCTCTACGTATAATCCGATAATTACATATGCAACCACGAGAAATCATTGTATATTAAAATTAATTAAATAAAATCGTATATTTTATCAAATTACTTCATATATAGCGAAAAAAATTATGTAATCAGATGAAATCATGTAATCTGCGGGACAGTATTTCAGCTAGTGGTTATTCCCTCGGGCATCCTCACCATGAATATATGTATAAATTCCAGGGTTGATAAAAAAACATGTTTTAAACGTGTTTTAAGCAGTTTAAAACCTGCTTAATTGATGTTTTTAATATGTTTTAAATGTTTTTTATAGTACTGTTTAAAGCATATTTGAAGCATTGAAAACATATTCAAAAGAAATATAATGTTTTGTTCTTAAAAAAAAAAAACATTAGTCTTTACCAATCCTGATAAATTCATTCCAAAATATCTAAACACTAATATCCGCTTGAACTAAAAATATATTTATTTCTCTTAATTAATTTACATTAGATCGTTACATCACGCTATTTCAAAAGATGGTTGTTCTCAAGGCAAATTATAATACATTATGTGATTGATCAATTATAATGGCCGCGTTTAGTGGAAAAAACGCTCAATGAGCGATTTTTTCTGCTGAACGCAGCCAATATAATCCAAGTTTCAAATCGTAAGAAATGGAATTTGACCATTTTCACGCACTAATTACTGATTTATTGCCTTATGATACACTACTAACTGGCTTACATCTCACTCCCTACTTCTATTAATACTAACGGCTTATTGTAGAATGTGTGTAACTGTTCCGTTCTGTTACGAGTCACGAGTTGCATCCCAATCCTGAGTAGAAGTTATACTTATTTATATCGCAGAATATTTAAAAACTCCATCAAAACCTTTATTGATTTTCTCCGTTACAGATATCGAGATGGCGAATCGACACGGGCACACATGCCTAATGATCGCCTGCTACCGAGGTCACGTTAAAATAGCGAAGTTCCTACTCGCCCTGAAAGCAGACGCGAATCGCAAGTCCGTGAAGGGTAATACAGCGTTACACGACTGCGCCGAAAGTGGATCCTTGGAGATATTGAAAATCCTTGTCGAGCATGGGGCCCAGATGGACGTAGACTCTTATGGGATGACACCACTCCTCGCGGCAGCAGTAACAGGTTAAAGCAGAAAGTTCCACGCACCACTCGAAGGTTCCCCTAAGACAGTTTATTTAACTCCGAGGAAAAAGCGAGCGCTGACCGAACGTTTCTTCGCTTCCTCTCTTCCAGGTCACACGCACATCGTCGAGTATCTCATAGGCATTCCCCAACTGTTCAGCAGGAAAGAACGTATCGACGCGCTGGAGTTGCTTGGAGCTACGTACGTGGATAAAAAGAGGGACATGATTGGCGCCCTGCAGTTGTGGAAACGTGCCATGAACGAGCGGTATGTCTCCATACACGGGCAGGCTGTTAATCCGTAACCGAAAATCGTGTGCCTTTTATTTTAGAACACTTTCTATATAATTTTGTATAATCGGAACGCGAAACATAAGGAATGACCTCAAAAACCAGTTTTTTGCCGATTAATCTAAAAAAAAATTTAAGATGAGTATAGAAATAATCTTAGGGAATCAAACAGTGCTGAACATAAAATTTTTCTGCGATTAATATCGTTTAACAATACGATTCGAATTTCGAGGACCATAAACTGAGCGAAATTTGGGGATCTTTATAAATATTTTATTTTTTATAAATTTTTTAAAAGAAATATAATTCTAATTTTTATTTAAAAAAAAAGAGTTTACGCTACATGTTGAGTAATATATAGTTATATACATATATACTTCCCGTAGATATCGAGGAGACGGACCAGTGATAGCAAAACCTGAATCTCCACCGCTTGTAGCCGCTTACGAATACGCCCGAGAGGTAATTGAACCCGAAGCTTTGGACGATTTGTTAGCAGATCCAGATGAAATGCGTATGCAGGCACTGGTGATTAGAGAACGAATATTAGGACCGGCTCATCCAGACACTAGTTATTATATTAGATACCGCGGAGCTGTCTATGCGGACGCGGGTAAATTCCGTCGCTGCATCGAATTGTGGAATTACGCTCTCGATATGCAGCAGAGCATGCTGGAACCACTAAATCCTATGACACAAAGCTCTCTATTCAGTTTCACCGAACTCTTCAGCTTCATGGTGGGCGAGGAAGGTAGACAGACGACAAGGGGTCGTAGAGTACCGCCAGTAAAGAGGGAAGATCTGCTGAGAGTTTTCGAGAAAGCTGTAAGTACGAAAGTATCATTGTCGTCTATCAATATATCTCAAACCGTCAATATTTATTCGTTTACACCGCAAAAATTATTTTTAGATTAACGAAGTAGCGAAAGGAAAGCAAATGCTGGACAAGATGGGCGATCTGACATGCGAGCGTGATTTTACATTCTTGAACAGAGTTCTTGTTATCACTCTGCACTTGGCGTGCCTATTAACGCGCGAGACCGGAAAAAAGGATAGCGAAGAATACAATGCCTTTCACAAAGAACTCTACAAGTTAATCCGAATAAATGCCAAAGGCAGACACGTGAGTGCCACTTAAAATAATTATTAATAATAAAAGGGAGATTAAAAATAAATATCTACATTCCGGTTCTGTAATGTGTCTTTCAGAGCCGTGACGCGCTGCATTTAGTTCATAGCGAAGACGGTGCACTGGTTGGCAGGTATCCCACATGCAAGTTCCCATCTCCTCATTTGACTAAAGCTTTGCTGAGAGTGGGCGCAAATGTGGCTGCCAAGGACAACGACGGCAACACGGCTCTGCACCTTACCGCGCTATTACAGCCTTGGCGACCGAGTATGTCGATCGATCTGCTCGACGCCGGCGCGCATCTCGACGCGATAAACAACGACGGCAAGACGTTCCAGATGCTATTGCCTAATAAGGAGCTTTACGATTCGATTTGTCCTCTGAAATACACCACTCTCGCCTGTCTGGCCGCGCGAGTGGTCAAAAAGACGCAAAACATCAGCAGAGTGCCCGCACACCTCCGCACTTTCGTTGAGATGCACTAGTTGCGATGAGACACCACCAGTGAAATACCATGGCAAACACTTTATTCTAATCGAGAAAATGTGACGATTATGGAAAACAATGGTGATAATTCGGGCGTTAACTTGAATTCATAATTCATTCATTCTAGCATCTCGATATTCTCTTTGGATGTCTTCCAATAAGAGACACACACATGACACGGTGTAACACGGAGCATCCTTGTTGTTTGCCAATGTTAAACAAGGACGAAATAATCTTTGTGTTGTACTGAATCACTTGTTGGAAGATACCCCTTATCATGGGCGTATTGAAGAAGAGGGTTTGAGGGTTCAAACTCCTCCTGAAATTTTTTTATTAATCATTTGATTTTGAGAGAGTCCCATTAGCGCATATCCTACTCGTTATAAAACCATATAAGTAATTTTTAATACTTCTGCTAGTTGGAGAAAATATTGCTTCGACAAAAAATGCGATACATAGAAAATTTTCGTAAGGTTTTTGTTATGAAAAACAGAATATACGCTATAATTGACACATTTTTGTAATAACTGTATTATTCTTCTTAAAAAAAAGTCTTTAAAAAATAAGTAAGTTACATGCTGTACAAAACGTAACATTGTTCCTCTTCAAAATGAGGTACGAGGAGACATTAAAAGTTGTAAAAATATCCAAATAAAATTCATTAATGTTAAGAATTGTAAATTACAGCAACCAAATTAGTGCAGTGACGTTCTTTTCAGTACAATATAGCAAAATACTTTTTTTTTGGTTGTCATTTCGATTAGTGCAAGGAACATCCCTGAGTTGATTGAACCTTCCTCCCCCTGCGAAAAAAATTTCACGATATGCCCATGCCCCTTATTATACAGGATTTCAAAATCGTTCTGATTTCTAGTTGTTTTTTTAAATAAGGGCGATTTTGAGATATCTTGTATATAATCTATAGAACAGAGATATAAAGATTGTCCCCGAGAAGCACAAATCTTCTGACTGATGATATAATACGAAGCACACGTGATCCCAAGAAGATTTTTTGACAGCTTCTCTCGTAACATACATAAAACATGTTTCGCAATAAGATTTTCGCAAACAAAAAATACTTTTTTATTTCAGTTGACAACTTTCTTTTTATGCTTCGTAATTAATTTATTGAAAGAAAACTCCAAATACATGCATCTTTTAAAGCGGAAATTATAGATTTCGCTATTAAAAATTTTATATTCAATAAAGTGCAATAATATACACTTTACTTATGTATATACATATATATATTTTTTAATACGATTACGGTAATTTATAAAATATCTATTTTCATAAAAAGAATTTTAAAAAGATTAAAAAATTTAATGAGAACCTGGATCCATTATTATAATTTTTTGTTTTACATAATTATTTAATTAACCCGGTAAAAAATTGTTCATGCATGAATATGTATAAATATGTATAAACATATATAAACACGTATAAATATTCATAAACATGTATAATTATATATGAAATATGTCCATACATGTTCATCCTTCTTTCTTTTGTAAAATTACTTTTTAGTGTAATAAAAATAATAATAATAATGTGAAAACATAAAACATAATTAAAGGGATAATTTTTGCTTGTTTTACAAAAAAACAAGTTTGAAAAAAGTAAAAAAAAGTCATGTATAATTATGCATAATTTTATATGTAATAATATATAAATAATAATTTCCATTTCTTCAAATTGAATTTTTTTTAAACAAATAGTGCAAAAATTAACTTTTTAATTATTTGTAATGTTTTCACGTCAGTATTATTATTTCTATTGCACTAAAAAGTAATTTTACAGAAGGAAAAGGGATGTATGAACATGTATGGACATATTTTATTTATAATTATACATGTTTATATGAATATTCATATGTGTTTATGTATGTTTATACATATTTATACATATTTATACATATTTATGCATGTTTTTTACCGGAAACCTTTATTTGAAAATTGATTGGAGATATTAACGCGTTTTTATCGAAGTAAAATTGATTTACAAGCATTTTTACTTAAACCCTTGCTTGCCATTATTTTTGTTAGACTGAGATTAATTAACGACATATTTTAATAGATCTCTTTAGTATCAATGTGTGATGATACGAAAAAGAGGTTTTTTAATTTTGATGAATGAGTTAGATGAATATTGGTATTGCAACAAAGTGATAATGCAAACATTGTGATCTTATTATTGCGAACTTGGCTAATTAGGCCTCTCCCTTATACATAAACCCCGCGCAAGCCATATTATATATATATATATATACATAATATATTGATAATACTAGATAACATAAATGTACGTTAAATTCAAGTGTGTTATCTTAGAAAAGTGACTTTTTACCTTGCTGTATAAACAAATAAAGAGAGAAACATGGATATTTGTAATAAAAGTTTTCTGACACTGTGAACAATGAATGATGTAATTCTACATTTAGCATACTACAATTTTGTTTTTCAACATTTTTCACATGTATAAAATTATGTTCTCTTAAATATATGAATAAAGCGTGAAATGTAAAATTGTAGTATGTTACGTTTGTCTCTTATTTCAACACACTTCGAACACATCACACGAGTTACTTCAGTTTGCTAATCATTAATATTCCAACGAGAGCAATAGTGATCGGATGATTTTATATATTATTCGCACAAGTTATAAAATTGTGCGCATTCATACTTTTATTTGAAATGTGATAATCCATGTATACATAGTCTGTAGAGAAAAGACACGTCTCTACATAATTATATATAAATATATACAACATATATATAAACGGGCGTGTGATGTTTAAGGTGCCTTTTTCTTTTGAGAGCTGTTGAACAGTGCACTTCTTGCGCTAAACATGAACACGATTGTCGCAGTACTGTTTGTAGCATTAAGACTAATTTACACGTACGAATTACGTACCCGTATTTACCGTTATTATGCAATTTTATATACGTTTTACATGTTTCGTTTGAGCCAATGATCCCGTTACTGGCACATTTACTCGCGTCCGAACTATTAACTGCATCATTGTAATATTACAGGACGTCGCGTTACGCGATTTTCCACAAAGATAGTAATCCTTACACTTACCCCTCGCGTATCGAAAGCTATTTTATAATGTATAGGTAAATGAAGAAATACAGCTGTAATTGAAAATATGATTTGACAATTCATTCTTTTTTTATTTCGCACGACTCACAAATACAAGCTATGTTCCGTTACTCACAAGTACTGAAAATCTATAGTTTACGTTACGTATACTATAGATTTTCAGTACTCACAGTGAATCGTGGAACGCAGCCACAAACGTAATAGTTTCCCTGGAAAAAAAACATAAGCGTGAAGTGATTGTCAGCTATTAAAACTTACCTGTCATTGTCACATTTTGGAACAGATGTTTTCTCGATCGTGATCTGAAAATAATCAATAATATCCATTGTATCTATGCCCCAGTGTAATAAAAATATTCCTTATACGATAATTTATACATATATATTATATATATATATATATATGTATATATAATTTTATTTCGGTCTCGCGAGTAGAGAAAAACGCTTTCAGTTTTCACGTAACAAGAGATATTGAACGGTTGCGCTGCACGAATCGCATGTCACAATGATAAAAGAGTAAACGCTTCTTGGCCCCTAAAATCGACGGAACTGTTAATGCGAAAAGACACGAGCACCGATTCTCGAGGAATAATATAAATAATAGTAACGACAACTTTTATATCATATATCAGAATCCTGACGTAGTCAATAACAAAAAAAAAGGATAATGCTACGTCTTCTTCAACTTGTAGGAATTTAATCAAGCGTTGAACGAAAGGGAGGATCAATCGCTAAGAATGCGCTAACGTGCGCATATTTTTTTATCGCCGATCGCAGGTGAAACGTCGATGAACGCTCTTACCATTAAAATACATTAATAAAACTCAAGAAAAAAATCGCAAAGTTCCGTTACGACAAATCGACGGAAGTTGTACAAAGTGAATACTTGGAAATAAATACAAAATCATTGGCGCGCATGGAAGATTTCGCCGTCCTTCATTCAGTTCTATATACAGAATCGACTACACCATGTTAAAGACGACAAAAACCTTGTGTTAACTATTCCTTTCTCGGTCACACTTCCATAAAAAGTCCATCGATGCGAGCTCAATTTCATCGACAGTAAAAGTATTGTTAAAAATTATTGGAGATGAAGAATACACTTCGTGACAGCACCACGCATAGACATGTTTAAATTCTCGTTATTAATGACAGAAAAAGTAATTATGCTAATCTCTCTCACTCTCTCACTCTCTCATTCTCTCTCTCTCTCTCTCTCTCTCTCTCTCTGGGCCAGATATCGTCAATCGTCTCTCTTCCCGGAACCGTCTTCGGAAAATCAGGGAAGAAAATCATCTGAAAAAGTATCTCACCTGCGAGCTTGAAAGAGCACCTTCCTCCTCATTGCGCAGATACTGACGTCCCAATTGTACGGAAGATAATCTGAGGAGTGATCTGTATTTTAAGATGTATCAATAAACGAATGGACTCGTATTCTGCTTAAATGCAACGTGTTTACAGGACAGTTATGATTAATCGTACCATTTAAAGATTTAGTTGCGTCGCATACTAAAACTCACTTGACAAGATCCATCCGAACCAACAAGAGTGATCGCTTAAAAAAAAATAATAAAAATTTCACACAACAGCACAGAAATAAAACACAACGACCAGCATAGTTTTTTTTATAGCCAAAATGAATTTGGATTTTATTCAATCACTGTTATGATTGGTGGTTATACAAGAGTGTTATACAATAGAATATTCCTCGAGATCTACATGGCGAGAGAAGAGTTATGTTTACCAAAAAATATTTCGGTGACACCAAATGCAATTCGTCCATTGTACCGGAATCAATCCAAGTCTTGTCCGCGTACATTTCTGTGGGGGAACAGACAAGATTAAAAGACGCTATTCAATGTCACGAGAGGCTCGATTTACTTTTTGGTAAACATACTACGGTCCATAAAACGCAGAATTTATGCCGAATCTACATCGTCTGATGTACGTTCGCCGAAGTATTGAAGCGAGTTTGAGTAAACTGAGAGGGGATCTTCCTAAAAGCGGCGGACTACAACAAATTTTTTTCGTATGCTTCATTTGGGGGTCGTTAAATTATTCTTACAAAGATGCAAAACAATATGTATGTAGTACAGTAAATTAAAAAAAAATTAATAATAAACGATGTGATCGCGTAGAAATCGTGGCGACAAAGCGCTGTCCCCTGTCAAATACCACATGTGCTTTTTCTTACGCATAAGTGCGAACGATGCGACGAGAATATCCAACACAAAAAATCCACGATCTGCATAAAGTAAGATTTTAAACGAGCGTACCTCGATAATTCGCAAGCCGAAAATCTAATTCGACCGAATAACGATTTTACAACGTTACAAAATGTGTTTTCATGAACGAAAGATTAATCTCTATCCCTTGATGGACTCAGCTACGAATGAGCAGAGCATCACATTAGATCGAAATGATGGAGAACCGATCGATCTCTCGTCATGATAATTAAGAAGTACAGACTTACAGACTACAGAATCGCTAATTACGGTAATTAACCTGTAAATAGTGAATAACCTACACACACTGAAAAGAAACCTACTGACTTACTTATAGATCATCATGAAACCTAAGCCTAAAAACAACTATAGTCACGATCGCTAGAAAAAAAAAACTGATATAAGAAGTGAACAATTAGTAGACTTCCATTGTAAAAAGGAACGATAGTCTGGTGATATTTAAACAATATAGAATTGAAAGTTGAAAGGGGATAAAGAGAAAGAGAGAGGGTGTGGAGAGTGTACGTCAATCAGTGGTCATATGACTGTTGCAACATTGAGTAGCCATCACAAACACGACTTGCTGATCTTCCAAAGATAGATACTTCTCACTCACTGTCCTAAGTTCTGCCAGACAACTAGGATGAATTTCAAGTATTGTCATTAGGAGTGGAATCCTGCAGACGACACAAACACCCAGCTTCCTCACGCTGCGTCAATAAGTTATGGTTAAGTATCAAATTATGATAATATAATCTTTTCTATTGACATTACCTTGAATCCCTCGAGGCTTATCCTTCCATTCTTAATAGAGACGCACATCAATTGTTCTGCCATCAATACGCGATCGATTCATCATAGCTAATTGTGATAATTAAGGAAAACTCAATTGTACAACACAATTTTTTCAAAATAATTATAAACAGAATAACAAAATTAGTAAATAGATAATAATTGTAATTAATCTCTTTTTCTTTCTTTATTACATATTTCGTAGTTAATAATTCAAAGAAATAAAAGGGAAAAAAGGAAGAAAATGGTAAAAAAATTTTTTTTCTAACAAATGTTAAAATGTTTGTTTCGCTTTGAAAAGGATACTCACAGCACGCTCAGCATCCCATTCAGATGCGAACCGTACCATGCCCATGTCGGCACCTCTCATTTCCGCGAATTTTACCTCTCCGGCGTCCTGGAACTTATCACGCAACATCTGCCATGTAGTGTTTGGAGGTAGCTGCAACACAAAAATTATAATTAAATATTAAACCAAAAAATAAAAAATATTAGTATTTTAAGGAATGGAAAATTCCGGGAAAGAACCCAGGATCGAACGGGAATGAAAAAAACATTTCCTACGCCTTAAGGGAAAGAACTCGGATGGAAAATTGCTTTATTCGATGTTGCAAAAACAAAGCAATTACAAACATTGCTTTAGTTACAATTTACATTATATCTATAATATAATAATTATTTTGTCGGAAGTAAATAATTAAATTAAATAATTTATGAAATCTTCCTGATTCTGGCTACTAATTTTTTATTTGCATATTTCTACCTTCACAAAAATGTTCATTTTAAGTTTATATCTTTTTATAACTGTTTTTAAATTATTCATGTATTTTGTTTTTCATGCTTACTTTTAAAAGTGCTAAAAAAATTCCAGTAATGACATTTTAATATTTCTATAATTACTTAACATTTTATTCTAGAATAAAATGTTTATAAAACAAAATTTAACACAGAAGTATTTTATATTTTATGTTATATTAAATGGAGGCTTGTAAAAACAGGTTTAAAAAAATGGAATACCATTAAAAAACGTTTTTCTCCAGTGCCAGATTTTTTCTCTGGAGAAATCCCAAGGATAAGTTCTTTCCCGGCGATTTAAATATCTCAGGAAAATAACACAATAAAAAATATAACAATGATAGAACAAAAGTACATACGTTGCCTATAAGTATAGTATCTGACATCTGTCTTGAGCCGTTGGAGTTCTGTCGATTACCGCCACCGCTTTGGCCCTGGTTGCCAGAAAACCCACCGCCGCCACCAGAAACACGATCACCGTCCCCTCTGTTAAATCCTCCATCGAAATCTCTACCGCCGCCGCCGAAATTAGAGCCACCAAAGGCATTGTTACTACCAAATCCTATATCGTTATCCAATTTGGATAATCCACGCGGCGTGAACGTATTATTCCCTTGTCCACCAGCCAAAGAAGCCTGTAAACCGCTTAAGCTACCAACTCCGCCTCCAAAGTTATTCAAATTTGATGCTAATTCACTCGTCAATGAGGAATTCAGCAGTGAGCTTGTGGTGAGATTAGCACCTAAACCAGCGCCGGCAAGACTAGCTTGAAGGGCTGCTGCATTCGTGTTTGACAAAGCCGATGCTAGAACAAATAGGAACTCATTTATTTAACGATTTTAATTGATTTACAAGAAGTGCATGTAAAAGGCGCACGCTCACCTAATTGCGCAGGTACAACATTGTTCAAACCGGCGCCGAAAGCGCCCGCAGCTAAGACAGGCGCTGAGATTGGATTTACCACTGGTGGATTGTTTGCTTGCACATTAGGAATATTTCTAGCAACATCTAATAATCTGTTACCACCGGCTCCAAGTCCCATGCCGATACCCTTCAAACCTGATATACAAAAGTAAATTTAATTTATAAAAGCGTATCAAGCATGTCTGTCGCAAACTGATGAATAATATAAGTACCTTCTGGTAATTTAGGTGGCATATCAGGTTCATTAGCTCTGTCAAGTCTAACGGTCATACGCCTATCGTATAACTGTTGGTTATGAAGCATCGAAATGGCTTGTACCGATTCTACCGGATGATCATATTCAACGACTCCAAAACCCCTTGATTTACCATCCTTATCTTTTCCCAATTCAACGTGCAACACTTTTCCAGCCAATTTAAAAACTTCAAGTAGCTTCTTCTCGTCAACTTTGTAGTCCAGCTGAATAAATAGATAGATAATATAATTTTTCAATGATGCATACTTTTTAAAAATATAGCCGCGTCATACTAACGTTAGCGACGAAGACTCTTGTGACCAAAGGACCATTGATGCCTAAAGATTCTAAAAATTGTGTACTAAGACCATAGGTGTTTCCAAATTTATTGTCTCCACCTCCGCCACCGCCGCCACCGCCACCACCGCCGCCACCACCGCCACCGCCGCCACCGCCTCCGCCACCGCTAGGTGCAGACATATTTTGTCTTCCGCCTCCTTGTGGTCTTGGAGGATCTCTAAATCTGTCATCACGATTTCTATCATTGTTACGACCTGTTGCTAAACGGCCGTATTTGTCACGTTCTACATCAAAATCCTGCAAAATAAATATAATTCATCAAAGTCACAATAATATAAATAATCTTTAAAATTAATCTTTTGTTAAATTATGTATTACACGTATTTTTTAACAAAATGAAATAATTATAAAAAAATTAAATTTTTCTATGCTATACTAGAAAAAGTTTAGCGGCGATTTAGATAGAATCTAGATCAAAAATTAATATTCAAAAGACGTGTTTAAAAAAAAAATAAGATAAAAAAACTTTCATTTAAAATTGTATTGCTAAATATAAATATGAAATTATTTCATATGTATATAGCATTCATTTTCATACGAAAAATATAAATTCTTATCATTTCTTGCGAGACTATACATATAATGCACAAATAAGATCTATTAAAATAATATCCAAAGCTGTGCAAATAGAAAATTTCTATATACTTACTTCTTTAACAACAAGCTTCCTCCCTTTGATGTCATATCGGTGCATCTTTTCCACCGCTATCTTCACCGAGTCCGAATCTTCGAACTCCACTATCCCGCATCCTCTAGGCTTATCATTCTCATCCGTAAAGAGCTCCACATGCGCTACCTTACCAACCTCGGTTCTAAATAAATCCTTAAGATCTTGCCAACGAAAATCGTAAGGAATGTTGGAAACATAAATTCGCCGTTCAGAGGCCTTCCTGCCGCGATCGTTTCTATCTCTACTGCGATCGCGACTGGCCGAGTTTATACGGTTTGGTCTGTCTGACCTTCGATTACGGTCGCGTTCTCTGCTTCTATCCCTGTCGTCATTGTTTTGTGCCTGATTACTGTAATTACATGTGCAAAATAATATATCATACATATACAGAGCTGTGATATTATAACATAATACATTAATTCCCATTTCTATCAATGTAGATTAAATTTAGTCTCAATTTAACTTACTCTTCATCTTTTTCTAATTCTTAGAACTAGAAAAAGCTATGTTCCACTTAACACTCACAACACTAGCGAGCATCATTTGTCCTTGTTTAACATTTGATTAAAAAAAACCAGAAGGATGAAATGATTCCACAAATATTGCAGTAAGTGGAACACAGCCTAGGTAACTATATACTGTGAAAATGGAACTATAAGAGAGAAATGTATATGTACTTCTTGTATGTATACTTTTTATATCAGGCTTGTCCAATTTCAGCTCCAGAGCCAAAACGCAAAGCCATCGATGCAAAAAAATCATACGGGTAAGATTTCCTGGACCGTAAAGTGTCGATATACGTCCAAGCAATCAAGCTTATCAAACTTTACAGTCCCTGAAATCTTACACTAAATTTTTTTGCGTTGATGGCTTTGTGTTTTGGCTCTGGAGCTGAAATTGGACAGGTTCAATGTATACTATTTCACTTTAATTTATACTATATCTTACAATATTGGATGATTTCTATTTAGTGATACATCATTGTATCTTTCTTGAAATTCAATACATAACAAAGACAGAACGACACCATCACCAAATGCAAAGTATCCATTTTAGAGATATAGTGAGATAAAGTTAGAATGAGACAGTACACACACACACACATATATATATATAAGGAGAAAGTATATACATATATCTTTCTCTTTCTTTCTCGTTTTAATAAAATCGCTAGTAGCCACACTCAGTTCTAATTAAGTAAACTATGTTATAGATGTAAATATAAGAAAAAAGAAGTAAATCATATAGATAAGAAAGAGACATCAGAAAACATGGTAGTGTCTCGACGCTAAGAGAATATATGAACAAGGTTAAGAACTAGGCTGAAATTTTCGATACATTTACAGCCATACGCTTGCACGATTGCAACGCTGAAAAGTATCGAACAGTATTTATCGAATTATGCCTTTCCTCTTGTTATTACAGTCACCGAGATCGGAGTAACAAGGTACTCTGCATCTCATATCGATGCATGCCACGATGACTCCGCGATAGTCAAATGGACGGTTAACGATGTAAAACCCCATAACGCGACTAATCGGCAGAAAGACATTATACGTATAGGACATTATACTTACTCGTCCGTCTTCATTATTACCAGAAGCCGGTCCTCGCTCACCTTCGGACAGGCAATCCTACGAGCTAGCCGTTAAACGATATATCCAAATGTACACCGAGCGTCGTATGAAATGGCCGTCACCGGAAGTACAAACACGAAGCATTGCTCCACCATGGAGCGATGGAACTGCAACGTGAGTGACCACCGGATTTCACTGCGCTCGTCAATATCGCGGAATATACGTTTTCTCGCAAAAATCTCGAAGTGATGTCATCGATTTCCTAAAAGCGTAATTCGAGTTATTATTCGAATTTACAATTAAACTGCAATTAAAAAATACGCATCGCTGTATGAAATATATACTCGCTATGAGAAAAATACGAAACATTTTTCACGATGAGTTTTGATTTTTAAGATATGCCGATCATATTGGAAAAAAAAAGAAGATACAAACCAAACTAATTATTCGGGAGTCTGCGCAGTAAGTGCGGCAATTATACGAAACTCAACACAGGCCACGGTCCGATTCACGCTCACAACGCTTAAAAATCATTCTTTTTAATTTTAGTTTAAAATCCACTGCACCACGTCAGGATTTTGCGTTTACTTTAATTCTGTAAAAGGATTTTTTTATTCCATTTAGTCAATTCGGAGATTTTGATCAAACTGCAATGTCGACAATTGGGTCCCTCCAGCATCCCCTTAATTTGATTAGTACAATGTATATATTGGTACGATTGGGTAGAACTGGATCTAGATGTATAAATAAAACATATTGAAAAATTTAACAACAGTTGGAAAGCTGTTTTTTCCGCAACATTAGAAATCGCGCCATTTCGAACATGAAGTTGCGACGGCGGCCGCAAGGTGGCGCTCGCAGTGGCGCTGCGGCCGCGTTCGCGACTGGCGAGAGACATCCGTGCAGTCGATGTTGTGAACCCCTATTACAATCCCGTGGCGCGCCGGCGCAACACGACCTTCTGGTTAGAGTATCCATTTTGATCACATGTGAGTATTTCGAGCTGTTCTCGCTTTCGGCTTCAACTAATGGTGCTAATTGCCCGAACGAGCGGCGGATCATTAAAAATACGCGGGTAAATGTCGGGCCGGCTTACGTTCGTACGGCCGCGACGCAACGCGCCGCGACGGTAACGCGGTCCCCGCTAGCAAATGTGATCCGCTCGCTCTCGGGTCCATTCAGTTCGTACTCGCTTCGTCCATCTATCGCTCGAAATACGCTGTGCGCGACAATCGGCAGTGCCCCGGCAGCGTCGCGACACACCCCGGCGAACGTAACTCACGTCGAACTCGTTCACCTATGCCGCGAAGCTCGCGAATTCCTTCGTGCTTGGTTGCGCGAGAGATCTTTGGTTAGTCGCGCCTCCCCGTCCGCCTCCGACACCTCTCACTGTGCGCGAACTCCCTGCGACGACGCGCCACGTGGTCACCCTGTTCGTCCGGGTGTAACCACGTTGCCGATAGCCCGAGTTTTGGTGACTCACGCTCGCATTATAACCGGTAGAAACTCGATCCGAGCGACGTTAGTGTACGTACAATGTGCAGATATTTTGTACAGGCGAGAACTCTGTTGCATCCGTGTAATTTCTTCGGTCGTTTTTTTTTCCCTACTGTCGTTGATATTTCGTTTCTGACGCTCATCAGTTTATGCGGCCTGGGTCGTATAAATACAGTTGCAAAATTATTTTGTTCAAAATAGCCTCGTCAGTGTCATTAACAGGACACTCGAGCAAAAAAGTCGTAAAATCGTTATTACTGTATTAGTACCATTGTATCATTAGTTTTCTTGTTTTTCAAAATAGATTAATCTATAGGTCTGTTCTTTGTGGCTGAACTTATCCCAATGTAGCACTCCGAGGAATATTCTTAAGACATAGAGATGTCTTTTGAATGTCTAGGCTAAGATGTTTCTTGGAGACCTATGCTTTATTAGTACACTTGTTATACATATATATATATATATTTTTTTTTTATTTTAAGTATAACGAGTATATCCATAATTTATTTATATATCCCTTACAATACAATGTCAAAATCAACACCTTATCTGTAGAAAACTGCATCCAATTATTTTTTATGTATTTAAAGTGATTTAACATATCTCTGAAAATTTACTTATTCTAGAACAAATGTCTGTATTTTATTTTGAGAGAAAATACAATTTACTACAATATAATCATCTTTCTTTAAAATTTATAAAAACTTATATAAATAGAAACTTATTCCACGAAGATTAGGATTTATTCAGGTTTGTAGCAGAAAATTAAATATGTACGTAAAGATTTGGTGGAAGCAAGATCGAAATTTCCATAGTTTAAAGCAGTTACAAGGAATGGATCTTATGAGAAGAATTGGTTCTTAACAATTGGTTCTTTTTACCTGAACTTCTTGCTTGTTCTTGCTTGTTCGTTTTTTTCTTTCCTTAATGGCTGTTCTACAATGTGCTTTTTGTTTCCTGTTTCTTGCTGTTTGTCTCTTGCCCTTTTTGATCAAGAAGGCAAGAGACAAATAGCAAGAAACAGAAAATAAAAAGCACATTGTAGAACAGCCATAATAGAGGAAAGGAAAAAAGAGAAGGATAAACTGTGCAAGAGAAATTCGGCTAAAATGAATAGGGCTTTTATTCTGATTTTTAATTTCAAATTTATACCTATTTTGTGCTCCACACAGATATCCATCAAACAACAATGGCAGATATCGAGGATACTCATTTTGAGACCGGAGATTCAGGCGCCTCCGTGACATACCCTCAACAGTGTTCAGCACTGCGCAAAAATGGTTTCGTCATGTTAAAATCACGTCCGTGCAAGATTGTAGAAATGTCGACTTCTAAGACTGGCAAGCACGGTCATGCTAAGGTTCATTTAGTAGGTATCGACATATTCACCTCCAAGAAGTATGAGGATATCTGCCCCTCCACACACAATATGGATGTGCCGTTTGTTAAGCGGGAAGATTACCAGGTAAATTCTCGTTTTTTCGTAATTTCTTGCATGCGGCGAATTAAACATAATTTACATAAAATTGTTTTATATTTTTAATCTGTTTGTTCTTTAGGCTATTAAAAAAATGTTTATCCTTTTATTTTTATATTTATAAATGTATTTTATTGTTATTCATATTTTATAATCTTAATTATTTAAACTTTACTTACTCAATATTACAAAGAAGAATGAATTGAGTAAAGTCTACTTTAAAATTTGAGTCTGCGACATAAATGATATGTTTCTGTGAAAATGTGAGAAACATTGTAATTGTTTTGTGACAGCTTACAGATATATCTGACGATGGCTATCTCTGTCTGATGGCTGATAATGGAGAACTGCGCGAAGATCTCAAGATACCTGATGGTGATTTGGGAACACAGCTGCGTGCTGATTACGAATCTGGAAAAGAGTTACTTGTAAATATACCTTTTTGTATATATATATATATATATATATATATATATATATATATATATATATATATATATATATATATATATATATATATATATATATATATATATATATATATATATATATATATATATATATATATATATATATATATATATATATATATATATATATATATATATATATATATGATTAATATAATAATATATTATTCATATTTATCTGCTTCCAACATATATAATTACTTTATGATAACAAAAAAAATAACATTTTTTATTTATATAATCTTTATTATTTTCTTGTACAATAACAAGTATCATGCTAATTATTAATTTGTACGGTTTATTAAGTTTCTAACTATTTTTTAATAAAAAGTAGCATTTTTGTTATTTGTTATTGTTGATTTCTTGTAAATGATTTAAAAAATTGCTCTACAAATTAAGATTATACTGCACTGTTAATT